CTTCTACTTCGTTTTCTCTCGCGCGCTCCTTTTTGTTCGCGTTGCGCGCGTCCTTTCGACATTTTTACTGTTTACCTTGCGCTATTCTTTGCGGCTCGTGCGCGCAAAGGGTTCGCGGCAAAATACGAGAGACGCGTGTTACTTCTTTAAAGTGAAAACACGCGGGCCTTTATTAGAAAATTCGAAAGCTCTTTTTCTCGGCGCTCGGTCTCATACCGGTCGGAAATACCGCGGTATACCATTTTTTAAATAGAAATTTCGTGAAGATGCAACGCGCGCACTTTTGTTTTTTAAACGCTTTCTTGCGGAGAGAGACACGTCACGCCGTGTTTACCGCCGTGTATCTTGACAAAGTGTGCGCACAATGCAGAGTTCATGAAAAATTCACGTCTCTTCTTTAATAAAGAAACTCGAGATGCTTGAGAGGTTAATGACTTAAAAAAAAAAAACAACAACAACCGCGTGTCTTCCGTCTCGCACATATTATTTCTTACTTTCTTCGTTACTCGCTTGCATGTACGGGGGAAGGGGGATGCTTTGTATGTTAATCCGCGAAGAGATGCACGCAACGAGACTGCGACATGCACGTCGCGCGACTTTTAGAAATTTAAATCTCGGCTCTTGTATTCTCGCCGGGTCCCTTCGTTAGATTATATTTTTAGCTTGGCGGAAAAATGTTTGCTTTGCATATCTCATCTCTCTTTTTTTTAAAAAAAATAAGTAAAAGTTTAATGGAGCTCGGGAACCGTGTCGGCGGGAGCAAATTCGTCTTTCGCGAATTTGTACTTTTTGATGACTCTAATTCTCTCGAACGCGTCGAAAATTGCGTCGAGTCGCGTTGCAACGAGAGAAAGCGCGACGTGAATTTGTTTTTCTTTTTTTTTTGTTTTTGTTTTTGTTTTACATCGTACGTCGAGACGCGCGCGTGTCTCTCATCCGACGAGTTTCTTTGTTGTTCCCACGTTATTCTCCTTACTGCGCGTCATTGTCACTTTCGCTCGACGTTTGCAAAGTGTTGCAGACGATCGTCGTTGCGACCGTTTTGCATTTAGCAAACGACGGAAAGCTGTGTTGCGTTTATCGCGGGCTTTTGTCAATTATGCCACCATCTGCCGCGTGTTACTGCCAGAGTTATAGAGAGAGAGAGAGAGAGAAAGAGAGAGAGAGAGAGAGAGAGAGAGAAAGAGAGAGAGAGAGAGAGAGAGAAAAGCGGAAGCCCTTTATCGTAACAAGTTCAACAACACGCTATCGTGACGCGAGAAACACGATCAACGTTGGTCGTCGCATC